AGAGCCTAGTTCAGCAGCAGCAGTGGTGCTAAGTCTCCCTTGGTTTGAGGTTTTTCAAGGTGACTGTTGTGAAAGATGTCTTTACTGACTTCCATTCGTTACCATGAGCAGTTTATTGAAGGGGGATGTGTGGTATGTGTGGGGCATTTATCCTGATGGATCAAACTTGGCAGTGACAACAGGTTAGCATTTTGCATATTTGATTGAAATTGTCCACAGCTGCTAAATTCTGCCAGAACTAGAAATTTTTAGCAGCTGCCACTGGAATCGGAGAAGTCGGAGTGTAAGGAGCAGTGCAAGACTTGTGGGTTTCCACCCTAGCAAACAGCTTGGTGCTCCTGGAAGCCCTGGGCACAGTGCCGAGCATCGACCCCACCACCTGCGTGTGGCACCATTTGGCTGCGATGTCGGGCAGCCCAGGCTGCCGGGCACTGGGCAAGGGATGGATGGCTTCTCACGATGCGGGAGGAGAGCGAGCCTCTGCCCAGAGGCGAGAGTTGGCAGGTCTGCAGTGGTCCTGCCTCGGCTCACCTCTGATTTCTCTTCTCATCAGCGTTCGCAAACAACAGGAGTCTTTCTGAAAGCCTACCTTGCGCCCAGCGCTGTGCAATTACTGACTTGCTCCATGTGCTTTATGGAGCTTGTGAGATTTGTTAGCTTAACGAGTAACTTCCAAAATATTTAGGGATGAGAGAAGTGTGGTTTTACAGGAATGCAAACGAACTGGAAACACTGGTGGTTGTCACTACAGGAACAAAACCGGTTGACTAGTACACAAAGCTCTTCAAAGGTCACGGGGATCTCCGAGAGGCAAACCTGCAATGATAGCATTTCGAGTCATGAATTTATAGCTGATTAATCATTATAATATATGAAAGGTGCTGTCTAACTATCTTCTGGGCATCTGGGGAAGCAAAGGTTATGCAAGTAATTGGAAATACTGTGTTGCGAGCTGCAGGTTCTTCTCCCCTGGACAGGTTTGTGCCACCTTTGACAAATGAACACTCACTATTCCATAATTTTACCTGATTATCTAGAAACTGCCTAAATCTCTTGAGCTGGATCCCAGACTCTTCTTAGGCCAAGCAGTGACTAAGTTTGGTGGACCTGAGGGGCTTGTATTTAAGACTGGACGATTCCCAGCATTACGACATGCTTGAAATGATCCTGCTCAAGCAGGAGCATTGCTGCGTGGTTGCTAAATGAGAGCGCTGGGGTCCTCCGAGAGAAGCTGTTTGTGTCTTTCCTAGACTTAGTTTCACCTACAGCAGGACCTGCTTTTCTTGAAAAATGCCTCCTTCCCTCCTGCAGCTTTCGTGCCCTGCCCATCGCTTTAAGCAGAAGAGAGAAAGTGTGTCTGAGGCTAAGGAAAGCAGTGGCAAACCGGGGGTGAGGAGAACAGATTGTATGGGACAAGGGAATGATGTTCAGCCTCTCTACTGTCCTGAAAGCTAAGGCAACAGAAAGTGCCTTCGCCAGCTTCCGAACCCTGGCCCAGCTGCCTGGAGGTCCCTGGGTGTGGAAGTGCAAGTCCTGGCCTGTGTGTTGAGGGGACAGGGAAGCTGTCATGGGAAGATGGATCGGCGCAGACGTGCTCAGGCGTGGGCGTGCGTCGCTCAGCCGTCCAAGCAGCACCGAAACGTGGCTTTCTCACGTACCAAGATACACCTTTTTTCATTCTCTTTCCCCACACCACCACCTTATTTGTTTTCTTAGTTTTTTTAACTTCCAGTATTTCTCACAGGGCAAGAGAGCTTCCATACCGTCCCCTGTTGGGAGCTCTTAAATAATGCAGCCATCGAGTCAGAATTTAGTGCACAAGTAATGAAATTCATAACCTGAGTTTTCTATGGCAGCATTAACTGTGACACAGATTCATCACTGGCTTATCATCATTAAAAGGCAGTGGAATTGCATCAGGGATTGATGTGATCATATGCATGTAAAGATCAAGATACAAAAAGGTGTGATTTATGTAATATAAGCATAAGCTGTAATCCAAAAACCTTCCCACATGCGGTGTGACAGTTTCTGTTTCCAGAGCAGTGATGGCTTTTAAATTTACTGGGTAAATGTGTGTGTTTATGTGTTTTTATTTAACTCTTTTAAACATAGTGTTGTCTTAATCTTTTTCTCTCTCTCTTTTTTTTTTTTTTTGTTGAATTATAGTTGCAGTTGAATCTGCATAATAGTTCAACGTTATAGAAATTCTTTATATTTTTGGATCCTGGGTATTATATGTCAGCACTTTATGTGTTATCTAGCAGGGAGTATAGAAACACTGCCGTGTCTGATGCACCCTTAGTAAAGACAAACGTAGGATATGTAGAAAGTATATATAAAGCAAGAGGATAAATGTTATTCAGGTTTTATCGTTGTTATAATGGCTATCAGGATCATAGAAAAAAGGTAATGGTGAACAAAAACTGTTCCCGGTTTTCAGGACGTGTTAATTCTCCCCTTCCTACCCTTTAGTGATTTGCGCCTGAAAAGAAAGTGGACGGAGCTGGGCCAGTTTGGTGATGTGGGCTGACCAGCAGCTGTGTCTGTGGTGGCCTTTGCAGGGGAAGGGACTTCAGGTACAGCTGCAGAGGGAGCTGTGCCGGGGTAGCATGGGAGCGTGGCGTGGTTCCTGCTGCAGTTATCTCCTGGTCTCTGGGAGCTCTTGGCAGCTGCTCCGAAGCTTGGCCTAAATAACGTGTTTGTCTTCCACGAGGAGCAAAGCTGTTGAGATAAGTAGTTGCTGAGGCTGCCTGTTTGGCAAATATGTCAATCAGCTCAGAACTGTAAGTAAATGGGGCTTTATTACAAAGGTGTATTGCTCTTTGCAGTTGTGTAGGAGTTTACATAATTTTCAAAGGAGCTCTTTTTATCTCCCATGTACAGCAGTGATTAGGATTTACTTCTGAAGTGCGGTGGCAGTTTGGAGCACTCAAGACATATGTGTCGGTCCTGGACGGTTTTTTCAATGCAAGAGACAATACTTGCGCTCTCCCCTGGCATCCAGTGAACAAATCGGGGCATTGACTTTAGGGGAATATTTGTAAAAGAACGTGGGGGATCCACCCTCCCCCCCAACTTGACTACACTGGTAGCGCTGAACCTTCACAAGAAGGTGCCTTTTCAGTCCACCTTTCTTGGCCTCCTTTGAGTTGTGTTACTCCAGACACCAGAACTGATGGTGTTTGAGGTTAGACTTTAATTCAGTGGGGTGCTCTGTGTCCCAGCCCTGATCCAGCAAAGCACATAATTGTCTTCAGTGCAGATCTGTTCACACGGTTAAAGTTAAGTTCATCCTTAAAATATCTGCTGGATTGGGGTCAGAGTTCTCTCAGTTGCAAAGTCTAACCCTTAGTGAGAAGACCAGAGCTGTTCATCACAAGGAGTATATGCCTAATGGCCTTGTGAAGGAACAACATTTACTGCATCTACCCCTTGTTTTTTGTTACACATATTACGTTATTTCTGTAGATGTCCCTGACTCTGCTGCTTTCCCACCTCACCATTTTCCCATGTCACTCTTAAATTCTCTCTCAGAAAGGACACCCAAAGGAAAATGAATCCAACCATGCGTCATTTGTTCTTGAACAGATGCTGTAGGTGAGACTGGATCAAAACCTCTTCTTCTTCCTGAAACAGTCACCATTTGTCTGCTCTTTGTAATCATTTGGCATTCAGAGGCACGTAGAAAGCAACCACAGAAGACATGGAGATGGGCCTGAGGAACCCACAGGGGGAAAGAGTTGGCATGGAGTTGGTTCTGGGCATCTGCCCATTTTGCTGTGCTTCGCTCCCTATGGCACAGATAGATACACCTTCTGGGGCGGGACAGTACAAATGAGAATCGGCAGACCTTTGGCCATCTTCTCGTGTGCCAAACCCACCAGCCGCACCCTCAGAGTTCAGGCCGCTGGTTTAAATATCATGAGGTTTTGAACATGAGTGAATGTTAGGATTGGTTTTTATTTGTCCAGCAGCATTTAGTCTTTGGGGTGTTTAATATTGACACGGAGTCTTTGGGGAGAGGGATTGATTTTGCTTGGCTTTGTTGTAAAGCCTTATGCATCTGGTTACACTTAAGACGTTAGCTTGAGCTAACAACAAGCCTCTTGATAAAATTCACAAGTACTGGCAATACTGCGGACGTAGACTTATCTCCTGGGCACGTTTTGTAAAATTAAGCTATTTTCATTAAAAGAACAAAGAGTAGTATGGTGATGGAGCAGCTGTCATATTTTATTACAAAACACAAATATGTGGGAAATCAATTACAGCACGAGTGCCGCACAATGCATATTTCCAGTAATCCCCCACGGCCGGGGGAAGGTAGAAGGCTGATCTGAGCGCAGGAGCAGATGGCAAGCAACTTTAGATAGCTTCACTGCCATTTTTACTCTTTCAAGTGTTTGTGCTTCTCCTTTGATCTTCTGATCTTGAGTTCAATGTGTTTCATCTTCTTTCATTTACTATTTTCAAGTTTAACTTTCCCTTTAAATAACTTTTGCTTGGTGGAGTTTGTGTTAGTATGGGTTTTATTATCTTCTGTACTGTGAAATTTAAGGAGAGAGACAGTTGCTATCTTTCTTTAGTGTTGTTCACATCCAATAAAATACGGACTCCATCACTGCAGAGGACTTCACCATTCACCATTCACAGCTGTAATGATACAATGAAAAAACCTCACCTCACAAAGTTACTGAGACGCTTACAATGCATATGAAGTTGCAGTAGACTTTCTTGGAAGGTAAATCCGATGGGTGTGTGATGGCACATCCACAACAAGCACGTATGGAAGTTTGGTTTCATCATTAACCCAGTAAATTTAATTGTTACAGTTGAGTAATTAAGCTTGCATTAGTATTCTCTGTGCAGATTACATTTTCATCTCCACTTAATTTATGTTTAAAATAAAAGCATTTTGCAGTGTTTTGAAGTAGAGTGGCAAGAGCAACATGGGGTGATCTGAATAACCATGTGATCTGTGTTTGCTTTTTCTATAGCTGTCAGAAATGATAGGAACAAAAAGAAGAAGGAACCTACAAAGCAGGAGACCACAGAAAACTATGAAATGACAGCAGAGTTGGATGATCTCACTGAGAAGATCCGAAAAGCTCACCAGGAAACCTTCCCCTCACTCTGCCAGCTTGGAAAGTACACCACAGTAAGTATGGTTTGTGACATATATGTTCTGGATATGCCTGGATGATGTGAGTTTTGCGTTGGAGGCTTCAGATGTTTTAAGTAGATGCACAAGTAGATGGCATTCCTTGCACCTCCCTAGCCATGAAAAAACACAGGTAGCATGCAAATACATGCTGAAGAAGAGAAATTGCACTTGACTGTAAGCATTACTTGACGGTATTGTGAGCGACTGACTGAAGGATTAATCCAGCCCAGAGACAAGCTTGGAGTCCATGAGTCAATTACATGCCATCATTCATTAGAAATTTGTTGGCTTCTGAAGACATGATCTCTGCTTGTGCGTCAGCAGATTACAACTTTGCAGGTGTAGAGAGCTCTTAAATGCTGCTGGATTAGTGGTGGCAGTCCCAAAGCTGCCAAGGCCAAGGAAAATATGAAATGTCTAAATAAACCAGTTTCCAAAAAGCTCATTTAGAGTTTATTCCTCTTCAAGTATACCAAAATATCACAAAGCAGCAAACACTTTTGCTGCTTTTAGAAATGAAAAATCAGCCCCCGGTCAAGAAGTTCAGTACTGTAGCAATTTCTCCAGAGGATAACTTGAGGGAAGTAAATTTTTTCTGTACATATATATGTGGCTAAATACAGGGAATGTCTGTGATATTTATTGATTTCAGAGAGAAAATTGAATGTCAAGTTTGCAAACACAGTAATAAAAGAGATGCTTGAAAATAAACGTTAGGTAATGTTTTGAGTCCTGTCAGTAGAGGAATGACTTTGCTCGGTCTGGTCTTGCTGGTGATTGGGGCAACACTGGCTCTTTCAGAGGGATGTGCAGAATGTCCTGAAGTAGTCGAGCGTGCGCTCTTGCTGCCGAGGCCGGGAGTTCAGGAGCAGCATGGCTGGGGCAAGGAAACGCCTGCCTCCACGGTTCTTGTCCTCCAGCCCCAGATGGAGATCTGATACCAAGCCCCAGAGGCCAGGTGAAATACCTCTCTCACTGGATTGCTCTCATGTTTTGAGTAAATGCTCTGCTACCGAAACAAACATTAAATTTCTCAAAGAGTAATCTAGGTAAATCCCTGTGTGGCCTCAATATTCACTGTTTTATGGCATACTCATCTATTTACAAAGTGCAAGGCTCAAAACTCTCATGTCTAGGTGCAAGACTTTGTATTTAAGCACAAGAAAAGCAAGCATACATGGTGTGATGTTAGAAAAAAGCATGTTTCTCATGTTGCTGAAAGTATTTTCACAAGCATTTTCACATGTAATTTTGAGATCCACATAAAATGGTTAGTACTGGTGAAGGCGCCTGTCTTCTGCACGCTTCTCTGGTGCTATCCCTGCTCGAGTGAGATGTAGTCAAAACAGTCAGCGTAGGCGTGCTGGTAAATATTACTGTAGCAGGCAAGCTCAGGCAGACCCCCAGGGACCAGCACAGCATGTGAGGCTGGAAGCTCGAAAGTGGCCAGCTGGTGACATAACCAAAGGCAAAGCTGGAGACGATGGGATCCATAGTGTGTCTTTTCAAGGAAATTCCTGGGTTAATGCCCTCCACCCCTCCCTGTGGCATGTGTGTGGTTGCGTCCTTGTCTTACAGTGAATAAAATCTTCTAAACAGGCTCTCACACTTCTGCAAACACAAGAGTGCTTCTGAACAAGCGTGAAAATACCTTCCCGGTTCAAAAACAGTGAGTTTATGCCTTGTAGAAGAGGTGATCGGATATCCGCAGCGGGGACGCATAGCCAGGCGGGTACGCGTGCCAGAGTTCATCACTCACAGGCTGCCGCGCAAATGGCCTGGCCATCCCAGAAGAACAGTCTGTCAATGTGCCTCCCCACGTGAACGTGTCAGTACGTACTGGTGTGATGGTACCTTGTACTGGTAATTGCCAACCATCCTGGCAGGTTGAAAGATAAACCTGGGCACCTATATGCTTGCTTTATGTATGGGATGTCTAAGTATCATTAATATTTCAGCTCTTGAAATGAGGCAAGTGGATGAAACCAAAGAGGATCTTGTTGTGTACCACACCCACCACGGATGCCTTTGTTCTTGGCTTCTTGCTGACCCCCGTGGTGAGTTTATGTCCCCGTTGGAATTTCAGAGCCCTTACTGAGAGCACCTGGATTTAAGCAATGACTGGATGAATCTGGTCTGTCTATGGGTCCCAAGTAACCGTGACCTGACCACACTTTCTCTGAGGCTGGATATTGGTCATTCATATCTCAGGCCAGGTCGGAGAGCTTGGGGAAAGAGATTCTTTGTTTTACCGTTGGCCTGTTGGAAGTCCACAGCCGTTAGCTGCACGTGGCTGAAGCCCCTGCTGCTTTGTCATGGTTTGGTGCTATACAAGTTGCAATAACAAAATGATTCTGAAAGAGTTATTTTTGGCTTACCTTGAATCTTTGAGAGCGGTACAGCTTCCTTCAACTGCTGTGTCAATACTAATAGCAGCGGTGCTAAATACTGTCTTCTTGCCGCATTCCCATAGCCTCTGTGTGAAATGCAGAGTATTTAAATCTCTCATCTAACTAAGGTCTGGTGAGCACTCCAGCTTTTTAAGTAGGAATTCAGTATAAGAGCTCATTTTTGTGAATGCTGTCTCTGCCTGGCTTTGGAAGGGACAGAGTACAGCACTCCCCACATTGCTTGCGCCTGGTGAAAACCTCAGGGATTGAGAATATTCCTCAGTCCTGCTGGGGCTAGAGTATGGGTCATCATCTCCAGCTGCCCATCAGCACAGGAGCAGGGGAGAAGCCTTTCTGCAGCGGCGGAGGATCCATGAGGCAGGAGGAGTGTGTGCTGGGCAGAGGAGCACAGCTTCGGCGCTTGGACAACACCACCAGCTGCTGATCAAACGGCAGGGCTCAGGCAGTAATCTTTCCTTTTGAGATACTTGAAATAGAGACCAGAAGTCAAAAAAAGGGAGTGCATAGCCCTTTTTCTAAACGCTGAGTCCAATGGGAGCTAGAAGCGTACACCACTCTGCTTTTCTTGATAGTTACAAGCTAGTATGGGTAGAAGATTGCCACCAGTCCTGCTTTTATGCCTGGTTCTGCAGTCAGGAAGCACAACGCACTCACGTTGCGGACTGTATGGATCGCTTTTGTAACCTCAGAGTTTTTTATTTAATTCTTTAAGTGAGAAGTGAGTGTTTTGAGTTGATGTGGATTCACTTGATTTTCACGAGCTTTGCACTTGTGCGCTGCTAGAGACGGTGGACTGAAGAAACTGTTCTGCAAGCATGGCCTCTGTGTGCCTTCACTTACGTGATTGTTCAGACTGGTTTAAAACATGATTTTGTTTGTTGCTAAAAAGAGCAAAGAATTTTAAGTATAAGAGCGTGGAGTAAAAAAGACCTCGCAGAGGTACAGTCATAAAAAAACATGTTCAGACTTTTAGCTTGCGTATCTGGCTTCTCTCGCTCTTGAGCACTGCAGCCTGCATTTCCCAGAGGGAAAGGTTACATTCTGATTTTTTTTTTCCCCCCATTTTGTATTTTTATCTGTTCAAAAATGGTTTTGGAGAAGCATTTTCAATTACGTTTTTTTATATCCATCTGCTCTTTAAAAAGAAAAAGTGTCCATATATGTAATAATTACCATACTTTGCATAGTTAATACAAGTCTACTTAAAATAATGGGAGAATAGCACTTGTATTAAATTCCCTGGGTCATTTGACTTAACAGTTGCAGTTGCATTTGGTGGGCAGTGGCAAGTATAGTTCTGCCAATGATGAGAAGCAGCAAGCTGTTTAAACGTAATGGATTTCAAAAGTCCATCATAAATAGATCTGTTTTATTACTGTCATCCAGGTAAGAGAGAGAGCCGTAGTAATTTCTCTGGAGATGTCATACTTTATAGTATAATTGAGTGTAACTATACTGCTTGTCCCTTGAGACTGGTATTATTTGTAAGACTACAGCTGCGTTACGTTCAGCCTCGTAATAAAGGGAGGATAAAACAGAAAATAATTTTGACTCTGCAGACCTTTGCTGCGGGTTCTCCCGGGTTGCCTTTGGCTGGCTGGAACCAGAGAGGTTTTGCATCTCGGCAGCATTTTGTCCTTTCTAAGTGCCGGGCTTAGAAGTTAGGCGGCTATTGTTCTGTGCCGTTGCAGAGGAGTACATATATACATAGATATATCTCTCTCTCTCCATCCTGATGCTGGGACTGAACAGAGACATGTGCTGTGGTCCTCGGTGAACTCGCCGGAGCTGGAGTGGATTGCTGCTTTTACTAGAGAGGCATAGCAAGTGTTCCTGATTAGGGCAGAGTGCCCCTGTGAGCCTTGTTTCCTTTGTAAAGTGGATTTTAAAGACGGTGGGGATTCTGCTACTGTGTATGTTTCTGCGAGTACCTCATCCCGTATCGTTAATGTGGAGATAGAGCAGCCTGCAATGAAAAAACAAAAATGATGGAAAAAATGGGATCAATTTATGTGGCAAAAATGGCTGTTTAATTGGATTTCATAGCAAGGTTGGGCTTTTCCACTGATAAAGATGCCACTAGGGTGTATTACAGTATTGTTCCACCATATGTGCGCTGGTGCAAAGGCCTGAAAAACATGCAAGACTGCTCCTGGAAAAGACACCAAAAAACCAGCTTCAGTAAAATATTCACGAAAAGTCATAGCGTCTGCATCTTTTTCACAGCATGGTTAGAGGAGATCCCCAGGCAAATTTAATCAGAGTTTCTGTTTCTAACATGCGTTTTATTAACCCTGTGTTTTATTGTTCAACCTATACATTGATACTGAGTCAGTTTTGGGTTTACATATTCAGAAATGCTGCTAAAAATCCAGCTATTTTCCATGACCCTGGCAACTACATTCATTACCAAATAAAATGTTGAAAGTCTTTCCATTTGTAGCATCTCAAAGATAATGTGTAAACCACATTAGCTCCAACACTGAGGAATCTGGCACCCGACGTAATAAAACACCCACTTATTTTGTACTTTATTAACTGCCCTTTCTCTTCAGTTTGCATAATAGTGAGTTAGATTTACATTTGTTAAGACGGCCGTGCGTTACTCTTAATAGAAGACATGTCAAACTTCCCGTTGCTGGTACTGCAGCATGATAAAGTAACCTCATATGATACTGATGAAGATTTCGTTCACACTTGGTGGTTTCATGCAACGTCTTTTTTTCCAGATGGATACCCTATTGTAAAATGATTTCCTGCTTTAGGCTCTGCTTTGTGTAGCGCTCCGCTATGCCATCTTTCTATGAACTGGATAAACTGCCTATTAAATTTAATTACAGCCTGAATGACTGCACATCTTGATCTTATTTTTCCTCCAATGTACTGTATTTCACCAAGGTCCTTGAGGATGAAATAAAATAAATCTGAAGGATGCATACTCCAGTAGCCAAAAGAAATGTTTCAAAGGGCATTACAATGACTGTTAACCCATTAGTTTTGGACCATTTTGAAGGCAATTCTTTAGGTTTAGGATTATAAAGATGTTTTCTCCTATCTTTTTCTGCTGTCATTTAAAAAACCAAAACAAAATAGAGGAAGTTCCCAGAATAAAAATTCAAACAGAAATGAAGAAGTTAATTTCTTATCCCTTAAAAAGAGGGGGAGCGAGGAAGAGCACCTATGCACCTTCAACTACGCTAACTGTTCAGCATGGTTAGCATTTATTTTTTGCAATAAGGGCCTAATGTAAGTATTACTGGCTCAAATCTCCACCCTGCTGCATGTGAGGGTGAATGTCGGGCTGGCGTTGCCCTTGGGACCCGTCAAGGACTTTCCCCTTCGTGACTGACGGTGGTCGTGGCACCTGCGAAGGCAGCCCCGGGAAGGGGGGACAGAGCGTCACAGCCAAGCTGAGCTCACCCCACATCCCCTCATCGACCTCTTCAGGCCCTGTGTCCTTCCTGTGAACCAAAGAAAGCTGGTAAGCTGATGGCTTCAAGAGTTTCCAAGGAGGTGGACGTCTCACCGTCAGCACCTATGGTGGCAGGGTCACTGGAGATGTTTCCTCCAAGAAAGTGCAATCCGTGTAAATTGAATGCTTTTCGATGGCTATCTGCCGTGTCTGTTAGACTTTTAGGTTGAGACTCTTCTCATTTAACTTCAATTTTAAAGTTAATTAGACATTTTAAATTTTTAACCAGCTAAGACTAAGGCAGCTAATCACATGGGCTTCCCTTGCAGCTGGGGAGAAAGCTGCCAACTGGGGGGATTTTTCCTGACCTGCCGTAGGTACCTATCTGGAGTGGGTGAGGCCTGTTTTTGGAGATGCCTCTGTCTTGGTTAGTCAACAGGCTCAGATTGGACGTGGAAGAGGAAAACTCCACCTTTGTTTTTCTGTGGTTGCAAATTGAAAACCAGTGTGTTTTTACAGGTAAAATTCCTCTTGCAATGAAGAGGGGATCGCCAAGACGCTGAAGGCAGCTGCAACACACCAAACCATGAAATATTTGGGGGGGGACACCATCACACTGACTGCATCCTGAACAGCACTGGATAAAATGTTGGCAAAATGAGAATATGCTGCGTACTGGGGAAGGAGGAGAGGAGCTTCGGGTATTCCAGAGCTCTGCCGTTACCCATTTCTTGTCACCCCATGGGAATCATGGGCGGATTGGAAACAACTCACCGGGTCTCCTCATGCCCCCATCGTTTGTTGGACTAGCCTCATACAAATTACAGGAACTTTTGAGGCAGACGGTTCTTGGCTGACATATTTAACTTGTCCAAGGGTTAAGTGGTTATTCTGCATGTATGAAAACATGAATTTAATCAGAAACTTAGCACAGATGTGCTACGTATCCTAACAAGTGATGGACTTTTGGATTAAGATACATGAATATATAGAAACAGTCTCTGAAAGATGCAGCTGGAATGTCCTTGTAACACTTCAAACAGTAGGGAATATGTTGGATGTACCATCGAATGAGCATATAGCATTCATCAGCGCACATGGTGTTTTTCCTAACGTCGTGTAAAGAAGTGCTCTTTAATTCATGGGAGACTGTAGCTTGAGAAAGCTGTAAAACTCTTGCAGAGCCACAGAGCAGATAAATTAAGTAGAACTAATTTGCTAAGACCTTAAGTATGTGAAACTATGTTCCAAATATTGTGCTGCTTTTTCCAGATGAGGACCTGATATTCTTGTTCCACTGTTCATTTATATTTTCTGGGTTACAACTGTAAATTGTCTCTCTCAATGCACTTATTATATAATGGCAAGGAAGAATAATGATAGTGGCATTTGGAAATGTTTAAGTTCATTTGTATTCCTTGTACAGATGGCCTCTGCAATCGTAAGTAACAGAGAAATATCCAAGGAATTTTCAGACGATTAATCCAAGTTTAAAACCAGCATCATCCCAACAGCAAGCTGCAGAAAATGCCTGGAATGTTAATAGAAAGTACTTCTGGAAGGATATTCGGTGGTTGTTTCTTTCCCTTGAAAACCATTTACTGAAAGGGACATTGTTGATTTATGGTGCCTTCTGTCTGTCTTTCCAGAACTCCAGCGCAGATCATCGGGTTCGACTGGACCTCGGACTTTGGGACAAATTCAGTGAACTTGCAACAAAGTGCATTATTAAAATAGTGGAATTTGCAAAGCGATTGCCAGGCTTTACAAGTTTGACCATTGCAGACCAGATAACTCTACTTAAGGCAGCCTGCCTGGATATACTGGTATGTATTTTTAACATCATTGTTATACCACTAATGTATTTTCTATTGCTCTTCTTACTGTAATCGACAGGGAGAGGGGGTCAAATACTGTTCCAGCCTTATGGTTGTAAAATTGAACTTACCGGGTAGTCTGGTAAGGTCACGAGTGAACTCTAGTACATCTACAGACGTGTGTTACACGGGATGAACATACTTTAAAAATAAGTCCTTAGAGTTTGTGGATTTCAGAAGAGTTGCAAGAAGGGCACATTTTGGAATTGTGGCAGTAACTTGAAATATGTGCAACTTTGGAAAAGCGTCCTTATTGTTAACACTAAAGAGAGATCTGATTCTCTTTCCTTCCTCCTTCGTTCTCCCTCCAAAACATAATGCCCTGTATAAAGGATACCTAGAAAGACAGTGCACTGCATAACGTTTTAGGAACGTGCTGTTCCTGTGCTAATGAGGTGATTTGAGGAACAAATCACAAATCTTCAGAGTGAGGTTTTTGCAGGTTGTAGAGGAGAACCTGGTGTGCCTGGAGCCCAGCAGGCACAAGCCTCTGGCATGCAGAACCCCCGGCTTTCATCAGTGCCACAGGCACCTGGGGAAGTGGACTTGGTAATGGACTCTCTACAGATTTTGGCTAAATGTCATTTAATTTTAAATAGGCAAGCGTACAACCTGAAGCAGGGAACTGTGCAGGTGGGCTTGGAGTTTTTCTCCAGACCTTGCCACTACGTCAGGGCAAGCTGTCTTCCCTCCCTCTGTCTCCAGTTGTTTCTGTCACGCTGACCTTCAGAGGAGCCCTGTGGGATCTCAGCATTTCTTTGTCAAGACCTTAGAGGTCTTCAGGCTTTTAGTGGCAAACACGCTTCTTACAATTTGTTGTAGCAATAACTTTCAGTAAAACAGTATTTTCAGTGTGTTTTAAACGTATTTTAAATGTTTTCTCCTGAGCACATACCTTCAGGTCTTCATTGAGCCAAGCATGGCCAAGAAGCCCATTGAAGGATGCCTCCTGTAGATGTATTTTTTGGCATGACACAGGAGTTTAAACTAGGGAATTTGAAGTTGAAGTAAGTAATCTTGCTTCAAACAGGATCATATCGAGGAGGACGTTAACTGCTGTGACCTTTTCCTCTTGTTTTGTCAAAAGCTGTTTTGAAGAATCACTTCTAGAGGACATTGATGAAGGTGGGAGAGGGGAAGCGATATTATTCTTTGGCCTATGAAAAAGGGAAGGTTGAGCTTGCCGTGCCATGCTCGAGAGTCCTCTCTCGTTGTCCCCTTTGTCAGGGGACAAGTAGTGTCCAGGCACTCATTTAGACTTGACCATCTCATCGTTACTGTGTGTGGTCCCTCCACGGGGCAGGGCCATTCGTTACCAATTACACATCACCAGCTCTGTCCTGATAAGACACAGTTACGTTCCCCTTACACCAAGAGGCATGCAGTAATCAATGTGGTATTACCTCGAGTGTATTCTGCCAGAGGTGCGGGACGGGAACTGCTTTGTGCTTTGCTGTTGTAACCAGTAACAAATGGTTAATAGAGAAACTACCCAAAACTGGTGGGGAGGAGTCAGGATATAGCAAGAACCTGCGTGTCCAAACTCTTTATGCCTAAAACTTCAGCCCTTAAGCTGCCGCCCGCTATTTGGAGCTGCCATGCCCTGGCTCCGAAGCTGCTGGAAAAAAAACACGCCCTAATTCTGTAATTGCTCAGGATCCTGTAAGCTCCTGGCGCTCAGTCTTGGGGTGGGTAGTGGGAGCTTACCCCGGGAGCACCACGGCCCCTGCGGCACAGCTTCTCGCACTGCCCGTGTCACTGAGGCTGGCTGGACAACATCAAGTGTTTAGGGGTAGCCTTTCTGCTAGAAGTTTTATCTGAAGAGCCTTTATCAAAGTGACTAAATAAAAGCCTAATTGCCAGATTAGAAAAAGGAATAATGAAGCAGGTGGTAAACGGTGACTTTATTTCAACTAATTAATGGATAGAAAGGGTTGATTCCTTAATACAATTCTCCACTTTTACTTTGTTGTCGTGTGGCAGCCTTCAAGCTCTAGTTACAAACTTTACTGAGACCTGTCAGTCTCGATCACCTGCTCGTTCTCTTTTTTATTTTTCATGAAGTCGGAGAAGGTGACACATCCGAGCGAGGGGGTTGTAGTGAGTGCCATAGCTACCCATAGCAGGGAGGAGCTGCGGCTTTCCCAAAAAGCAGATAGGATGTGGTTGCCACGAAGAGTCCTAACTCACCGTGCGACATTTACACGAGCTTTATGTGACTATTTTATATGCTGCTTAAGAAGGAAAAGGGATAATTACCACAGGGACAGTAACGCGTGGTAATGTGAAATGCCCATATCCATTAAACCCACCTCACCTGCACATAATCGGAATTGCCGTGCAGTTCTGTATCTTTATTTAAGCTAAACTTCGGTACTTGGAGCAGGGTGTTAATAGCTCGTACTTCAAGCGAGCTAGTTCTCCTAATCGTGAGTGTTCTGAAAGTTCATTTTCTTGTGCATTGAGACGGGGAGCGAGCGCCGTTGCCCCTCCTGC